AAACTGTACTCCAGCACAGTACTAGTACCTCCAAACTGTACTCCAGTACAGTGCTAGTACCTTTAAACTGTACTCCAGCACAGTACTAGTACCTCCAAACTGTACTCCAGTATAGTACTAGTACCTATAAAGTGTACTAGCTATTTATACATTAAAATATTTATTAAAAACAACGTTTACTTCAATACCTCTGTAGACCACATGTACTTTGTGTACTTTCTGTAATTATTGTGAAGTCACGTGACTACTGATCAGCTGATCAGTGTTATGAGCTGTTTACTGTGTTTATCTGAAGGCCGCTATGTTCGCTATGTGAGACACTCAATCTACCCCCCCCCCCCCCTCCACCACCACTCCAGAAACAAACATCCACACATGGAGTTGATGAGGGGGGGGCGGGCAGCAAGAGGAGCGGGACACAGCAGAAGAACAAGACGCAGATCACTGGGGGTGAGACTATAAAAGTGAGAAGGAGCTGAGGACGGAGGTTTGACTGAGAGACAGACGGTTTGTGACTGCAGGCTGAACCAGGATTAGAACGTTTATACAGTTTCTCAGTTGGATTTTAGGGACTCCTTCAGACCAGGTGTGTGTTGTGTCTCCTTCAGGCCAGGTGTGTGTTGTGTCTCCTTCAGACCAAGTGTGTCTCTTGTCTCCTTTAGACCAGGTGTGTCTCTTGTCTCCTTTAGACCAGGTGTGTGTTGTGTCTCCTTCAGACCAGGTGTGTCTCTCGTCTCCTTTAGACCAGGTGTGTCTCTTGTCTCCTTTAGACCAGGTGTGTGTTGTGTCTCCTTCAGACCAGGTGTCTCTTGTCTCGTTTAGACCAGGTGTGTCTCTTGTCTCCTTCAGACCAGGTGTGTCTCTTGTCTCGTTTAGACCAGGTGTGTCTCTTGTCTCGTTTAAACCAGGTGTGTCTCTTGTCTCCTTCAGACCAGGTGTGTCTCTTGTCTCCTTCAGACCAAATGTGTCTTATGTCTTCTTCAGACCAGGTGTGTGTTGTGTCTCCTTCAGACCAGGTGTGTGTTGTGTCTCCTTCAGACCAGGTGTGTCTCTTGTCTCCTTCAGACCAGGTGTGTCTCTTGTCTCCTTCAGACCAGGTGTGTCTTTTGTCTCCTTTAGACCAGGTGTGTGTTGCGTCTCTTACAGACCAGGTGCTTCTCGTGTCTCCCCAGGTGTGTCTCAGGTGTGTCATCATGCCGTGGCTGCTGTCCTCTCAGGTGGAGCGTCTGTCCTCGTCTCCGTCTCAGCGTCAGTGTGAGCGGACGTCGTTCTCCTTCTACTGCGCCGTGCGGGAGCAGCTTCCTGTCTGGCTACTGGAGGACATGCGCGGCATGGAGGTCTTCAGCTGGGAGGACGGACATCCTCGAGCCTTCCTGCCGTCCGAGGCGCTGCTGTACGCGCTGGTCCACGACCACCAGGACTACGCCCGCTTCCTGCTCAACAAGTACACAGAGAGCGCACTCAGGCCACCCTGCTGCAGCTTCTGCTGCTGCCGCAGCAGCGGCGCACCACACCTGACCTTGGCAGTGCGCTACAACCGCGTGTCGATCCTCGGCATGATGGTGGCGGCTCTGAAGGATGGTCACATGCAGGACTTCCTGGACAGCCGGGGCGGTTGTTTACATGCGGCAGACGCGGGAAAGACGGCGGTGCAGCTGGCGGTGGAGCTGTCGCGGCCCGACTGTCTGCTGCTGCTGCTGGTTCACGGCGCGCTCCCCACTGGTCTGGACGCCGCGCTGCAGCGACTCGTCTCCTGCGACGGCGCGGACCGCCGCCACGCGCAACGCTGCCTCGACTTCCTGCTGCTCTTCCTGCCCAAACCTCCAGCGCTGTGCCGCCTGCGGGACGAGTCGCATCGCTGGCAAAGCCTGCTGGGAAACGAAGTGTTCAGCTGGCTGTGTGGTCTGGCTCCGCCTCCTCTCCTACTGCAGGCACTCAGGTGTTTGGCCCGGTCCGGCCCGGATCAGATCACCGCGCTGCCCGACTTCCTGCGGCTGCACAGCTGGCAGTGACTTCATCTGTCACAATGGAAACGACACTGTAAATGTAAACAAAGACTTCGAACAGTCCCGATCAGTGATCAATACTGTTCAGTCAGTTCAGTTCATCTGGACCGACAGGCTTTAGGACCCTGAGGGGACTGAAGGAGCAGCTGCTGTGAGGAAGGCGATAGAGCTTCATCATAACTATAATGATGTCATCAGATAACGACACAACATTTGAACATTTTAAAGGTTTTGTTGCATGAATGTAAATCTGATAATAAACACGTTTCTACCTCCTGATGATAAAAGAGAAGAAGAGTTCTCTTCTCATTTTGAGCTGATTGATGAAGGAGTCTGTTATCTGAACAGCTTCATGTCACTTCTGCAGCTTGAAATATTCTCAATCATATCTCTCATATTGATTGTTCATCAATACAGCTGATCAATATCTCTTCTGTGTATAAAGTGTACATTTAAGTTAGTTTGAGTTCCAGTCAGAAATATTCTGGATTTTTACATGAAGAAGTTTGAGATGTTGAATGTTTTGTTACTACTTATATTTGCATACAGATCTTAAAACCTCTGGTGATGATCTGCTCATTTTGGGACATTTTTAAAGATCCAGGTCCATCTTTATCAGAGCAGGAACCTTTACTTTATGTGTGCTGAACAAATAAAATGTGTATTGTTAATTGTTAAACTGGATTGATGAAAAATCAGTGTTTTATCAACACTGTGATGAAAATAAAATATAATTATTAAAGAGATGTTGTTGACTTGTTTCATACAAACACCAGAACCTGAACATGTTGTTTTGGTTTCACACGTGGAATAAGTGATACTTAATAATAATAATAATGTTTTATCTGCATCTTTATATGTGGCTGAAGCTTTTGTTCAAAGTGACTCAAAATGAGTTTATTGTAAACAAATATTATTAATAATTAAAAGCATGTTCAGTGCTATAGTACAAGTACTTAAAGTTGTTTTGTTTTTAAAGAAATGAGACAGAAGTAAATATGTGTCCTGCTCCAACATGGTGGCTCCAATTTCTCTCATATTACAAAAATGGTTCACTGAATTGTGTTTCTGAAAACATTACAGAAATGAACCCTGAAATTGAATCTGTCTTCATTGTAGAGTATAGTGTCCTCACCTCCGTCTCTCAGCCTGTAGAGAACTGTGGTGCATTCAGGGAGCGTAGAAAACAGAATCTCCCTCTGTAGAGACAGTGTTGATTTGTCCTCTCTGGGCTCCTGTAGAAACATGGTGGACTCCATGAAGAGGAGCTGCTCCCTCATCCTCAGTCATTAAGTAAATGTAAGTTGAATGTATATTTTAACATTGTGATCGTATGATTCCGACATTACTGCAGTTATCTGCTATAGTAATTATAGTATAGTGCATTAGTTATTGATAAGAACCTGACGATCAATAACCTGATCATCAATAATCTGACAATCAATAACCTAGTGATCAATAACCTGATGATCAATAACATGATGATCATTAACCTGATGATTAATAACCTGATGAAAAATAACCTAATGATTAATAACATGATGATTAATAACCTGATGATTAATAACCTGATGAAAAATAACCTGATTAATAACATGATGATTAATAACATGATTAATAACCTGCTGATCAATAACCTGATGATCAATAACATGATGATCAATAACCTGATGATCAATAACATGATTAATAACATGATGATCATTAACCTGATGATTAATAACCTGCTGATCAATAACCTGATGATTATTAACCTGATGATTAATAACCTGATGGTTAATAACCTGATGGTTAATAACCTGATGGTTAATAACCTGATGATTAATAACCTGCTGATCAATAACCTGATGATTAATAACCTGATGATAAATAACATGATGATTAATAACCTGATGATTAATAACATGATGATCAATAACATGATGATAAATAACATGATGATTAATAACCTGATGATTAATAACCTGATGATTAATAACCTGATGATTAAAGACGTGATGATTAATAACATGATGATCAATAACGTGATGATCAATAACCTGATGATTAAAGACGTGATGATCAATAACGTGATGATCAATAACATGATGATTAATAACATGATGATTAATAACATGATGATTAATAAACTACTGATCAATAACCTGATGATTAATAGCCTGATGATGAATAACCTGATGATCAATAACCTG